ACGCGTGTCGGGATCGATTCGGCGCGCGAGGCGAACTTCTGTTTATTGTCGACAGAAAAGACGCATCGCTGCACTCGGGCTGGCACGACTTGGAAAGTGGTGACGCGAAATGAACCGGAAAGGATGGACCGTGAAGGCACTGCGAATGGATTTACGGTGCGGTGGCAACGGGAGCGGCTGGTGCACGTCGACCAAGATGATCTGCGTTCTCTTCTTCGCTGTGCTGCTGCACGGTACGTCGATGTACTGTTTACACAGTATTCTATTGTAGTTCTAGTAAAAGATGGCCGTTGTAGTAACGAGGGGTTCAGTTTAATCGTTTGAGACCCAAAAATGCCGAGCGGCGCGATCGCGCTTCTTTCGATTCAATTTAGAAACTGAAAGACGCTTCTCTGTTCTTACAAAAACAAATTTCAAATAGGGTGATAGTTAAATTTTTCCACTTCTAAGCGGGTGGTAAAACTAAAAATGAACAATTAGAAGAAGAAGTAAATAAGCTTCACGTGATTCTGCGAACCGGAAGACTGCCACTTTTAGGCAGTGTAACGGAGAAGCGCGATCGCGCCGCTTGAGACTGAAACGGTTAAAATACGTTTGCACGTTCGTCTATTCATCAGTCTTCAATTTGTTCGAGCGCGACGCAGTTTCCCACTTCTCGTCGTATTGGTATCATCTTTCGTCTCTCGCGAAGGTATTCGATTTTGTTTTGATCGTTGAAGTATGTAATCGTATTTGTTACACTACGAAACTCTGACAGTCTCGTCGAAACGATCGTTCGTAATATGGCACACACGAATGCCGTTTAAGTGTACAGTGCGGACAAACGTCCGTTTTCTTGGGCGGAACTCGGAAATTTGAAGAGTATGAGTGATATAAACAAATGCTTTAGACAAAAGTTGTTAGGTACAGAGATAAACATGTGCTGGTTGTATTTTTGTTACATTATGGGGGTATTGTGAAGTTGTTTAACACTGAAACCATCGGGAGGGTCGAATTGCTCCATCTCAGAATTTGCATTTCGCAAGTATTTAAATTATGAAAGCGTTCTTGCGGAAGGTTTTCAATTAAATCCGTGTATTTGCATAGATACGACTAGCAGATCGAATCTCAAGAAACGTGTTCTAATGTTTATTAAGAGTTGAAACAAGTCACTCTGATTGCTCGGCAGTTTTAGTGTCAAACAATGGACATTCGTTTCGATTCCAACGTTGTATGAATAGAAAAACGGAATGCATTCGCGAAAAATCTTTGAAATAAGAATCATTTTGTATAACTATTTAGCAACACATTGACAACCTTGAATTTCCGTTATGCGAATGCTCGAATTTCGGGATTTTGTCGGTTTCGTAACTGTCCCGGCTAAGTTGTTTTCGAAAACGCGACCCAGACGCAAAGGATAAATCGGCTGCAACGTTGACTCGATGATTCATTGCTTCGCACGCGTTCGGCGGCGCAGAAAACCGATGTAACCCGAGCTGTCAACGAGTCGAAGGGCAAGCGGGGGAACACTTTATCCGCAAAAATCAGTGGATCGTTTAATTTACCGCGGAACGCGAAAAATCAAATCCTCCGGTCCACTACGTACGCTCGCGGTTCAATTACTTTTTCGTCGGCGACTCCTGCCGGTGCACGGGCCTGTTTATTGGAGCTGTTGGCGCGCACGATTTATCCGAGGGGCGTGGGGGGCGGATGAAAACGGTCGCGCATTCGTCCCTCGTTAATTAGAATCCCTGTTTGGCGCGGTCAACTATCGGCGCAACTATTGACTAGCTGTTCTCGTTACGGTAAGTCTCTATTATCGGGTTAATTCTTGCAACGGCAATTATCTCGATATCGATTCGCCGATTGAAATTCTCGTCACGGGTTTCCATCCGTTCGACGGACGTGTAATCAGCCGTGATTGCCGTACGCCAAGGAGAACGGCCCGTCGACTTGGCCAACCTTCGCGCAAATCCGCGCGTTTCAGCGACGCGGGCGAACGGCGCGAAACTAATGATCAATCGCGAGCAGATTCCGCTGCGCAACCGGGACCTGTGTATTTATACGCGCGACCGTCGACGCGAGATTCGATTTGTCCCTGATCCGCGCAAAAAACTTCTTCGTTATCCGTTACAACTTCGCGGATAACAAGCCGCGCGGTTCTTCTCCGGGGAACTGCGTTCGATCGGCTCCACGGGAGCATCGTCGAGCGGAGTATAACGTTCTCGCCGAGATGCTATCCGATTTGCCGAAGATCCGACCGCCCACTCGAACATCGTTATCGCCGGATCTTGTAGGGACTCTATTTCGCAGTTTCCGCTTGTTACAAAATAGAAGTTCGCCCAGTTTTTCGATCTGCAGCTGCCGTTCGCGGCGCAAAAGTTCCGGGAACTCCGGGAGAATTCCATCGTAAGACGCGTGCAGATGAAGGAACACTCGGGCCGGGATTCCTCCCATTGGAAAGCGAAGTTTGAACTCCGGGAGTGGCTGGCGGGTCGCTGACGAGAAACCGCGCAGCCGGACGCAATTAAAAAATCCCGGAGCAGTTCTCTTTCTGGAGTTGCCCGAGCGGTTCCGTGCGCGAAACACTTTGTCGCCACACGAGCGACTCGCGTGCCGCGAAATTTTCGCTGATGTCGGTCGACTCCCGTTCGCGCGCTCGTTCCGCCGCTCCCGTTTTCAGCGAGGATAACGGCCGACGTTGGAAGCGGCCGGTTCCGTGGTGGAAAGCGTGCGCCGGAAGGGATCAGTACGCGAAAAGCAACGGGCCCGCCCGCGGCGAACCGGGAAAGATGCGCTGCCGGAAACTATCGTCGCTCCGGCTGCTTTGCAAATATTGTCGCGGTCGGCCAGCGACCACGGTGCAAAGTTGGGAGATGGTTTGACGTTCAGCGGGACCGTACAGAGGCAAGAGGTGTCTTTCTAGTTGACGGTTCTATAGCTCTGATTGGTTACGTTAACCGTATCGGTGAACAGCAAAGTAGAGATCAAAAATATCAGAAATTAAGAAAGAAAATCAATAGAAAATCGAGGAACGTGGAAACTACCAATATACGTACGTTGGGTTCTAAATTCGAACGGATAGCTGTTTTCATTCGCGCCGCATCGCGAACATTTAAACATCGCGAGAACCAGCGGAAAGAGGCGGAAAATGGAAATGAACGACTGTCGATGCGATCTTTCGGTTCTCGGTTTTATTAGATTGGAGCGAACGCGTACGGACAGATAGGAATCGGGCTGTTGTCGCTGTCGGATGACGGTTTCCGGAGGAAACTGGCCGTTCGCTTATAAACGCGTTCACCCGAAAGTCGTGTGTACCGCGTGTATCGCGTGTCTCGTATCGAGGTATCGGGATGGCAATATCCAGTTGCCGACTGCGAGAGCGGCGTCTCTGTTCGCGAGAGGATAGGCGAACGGGATAGGACATAATGACACGATGATGGGGCGCGTGTAACTGCGTTAGCTCGGAGCATTCGGCGCAAATGGCGGCAGTGCTTACGGGCCGGAGGCTGTTTAATTTTACCCGGTTCCGCCATGGAACCCGGAAAATGGTGAATTCACGCTTCGCGGGGCTGCGCCGTGTGCGCGAGGCCCGTTAATAATTCAGGATGTGTTCCTTTCATAACTTTGCGCTTTGTCGTGTCGCGCGAGTCCCGAAATTGCGACGCGTTCCCCGGCGAAAGTATCGCTCGCCGGCGCAAGCGCCGCGACGTTTTTCGCCGTCGCGCCGTATGCGCGCGGCTGCTTATGAATAAACATTAAATACAATTGGGAAGGAGCGTATTCGGAATGTGTGTCGCGTCGCGGCGCGGCTGTTGCGCCTCCAACGCCCTTTGTTCGCTCGACCGCTCTCCACCGGATGCGCGCCGAGATCCAACAGCTTTCGCGAGCTACGCCGAAAAACGCGCATACGTTGTCTCTGACTGGGTGCAGTCGCAGAGTTCGTTCTTCGAAAGTCTTCCCCGCCATCGCGGAAATTCGATTCTTTCTTCCGCTCCTTCGCTTCCGCTGTCGCGGCTTCCACTCTGTGCAACTTCCATTCTGTTTTCACGCACACCCCAGCGAGGCACAGTTATTCCGGAGAAAACACTAAGCAGCACGCTTCAGTGAATCATTGCATTTCAATCTAGGGGTAATTGTTTTTTCGATTAACTGATTTCCTACGTTAATGGAACAAGGCAGCGCGCGTTTGCGCTCTGTTGACTTTTATATTACTCGATTCACGTTACCGCAGAAAGCAAAATTCGAGGCTAAACTTTATTGTGAAGACCGTCGGTACAACCCGCGCAGCTCGCGCGACCGCTCTCGATGACTTATCAACCGGAACTATCTTCAACCTCCATTCGTTCGCTCATTTATCCCTACGAAAATCATTCCCTCTTCATTATCACGGTTCGCTTTCACTCTAAACTAACCACGCTCGACCCAATCAGCTAAACATCCTCTCGAAACTATCGCAACCCGATGCATTCGTTCCAAACACACTTGTGCCTTAAAACTAAGCAAATGGCGAAGATGTTGGCTTGTCGCTGCCACACTCCCACGTAGCGTCCAGTTGAAAATTACTCGGAATTCACCGTGGAACGGCCCAACTCTCCGCGAAAGCGCACTGTGCTCCGCGAGCAAGAGGCAGCGACGTCCAAATACTTGTTCCTAATAGCTTGCAAAGTACCATAAGACGAATGCTGGGTGTATCGAATCCCTTGGTTTCTCAGTTACCGTTTTAACGAGACTCTCGGAGCAACTTTACAGTCGCGAGCACCGTTCCTCGACGATGTTTGGAACGAACGATACGTTGCTCTCAGCGTCTCGTCGCGAAAACGCGACGATTCTCGTGGCGGTCCGAATAAATGTAATCCAACGTGAACGGAGAAAGCGAGTGTAGAGCTAAGATTTCGTAGATTCGTGTTATCGGTGCGATTGCGCGGCTACGACGTTGATCGATAAAAACGAAGGATTGCTGGCGGCGCCGATAAAAATGGGCGCTCGGAATAAAGAGCGTCGTTTCATTCCGAAGCATCAGATATTAATGGAGATTACGCGATACAGGCGCACGCAAAGCCGATGGAACACGGAATAATTGAGGGAAGTTTCGAAGAAGCGTACACTCGGAAACGTTAAGCGGGATATCGCAATCCTCGGCGTGGCGAAATTAAAGCCCGGTTATCCGAGAAACGCGATCGGCCGAACCGGCCACGAGCTTTCCAAGGAATGTAACGTAATTTTCGGTAGCCTTTGCGAGCCGAAGTTGCAC